CGGACAAAAACTTTCCATCTGTTAACTCCCCATCTTTGTCTCTTAGCATGTGGCATAATGTGTTGTTTAAGAGAGTTAGAGAGGGATAGCTATTTCAGGTGTGATGTTCCTCTGTGAGCCCTTCAAAATTCATAGTTCTGATTGCAATCCTTGATGGTAGACAGCAGACAACATTGCGGTGAAGCCATAACAAAAATAAGAAATTTAAGTTTTTGGATGCTGAATTTGAGAATAATATGCATATGTGCCTTTAGCTTCACAGGAGACTGTTAGACCTAGTTGTATGTTACTCATCAGGCATTCGATGCCAGTACTTTTCATCTACCATTACCATACGGTACTCCTGACCAACCATGAAGATTTGTTCTCCTTAATCTACACACACAACTTAAACTATATTACCCCAAAAAATAAACAATTTCAAAGAAGCTCTAGGAAAATGTACAAATAGCATATTCCAAAAGTAAGAWTAGCAAAATTCTTCAAAAACAAACCAGTTCAAAACATTACAAAATGCATAAACCAAGTAATAGTAATCCCTCCCACCTTTCCATGTATAAATTCAACTGAACTCAATAAAGCCTTATTCCAACCTTCTGGGTCAGTTGCATGTATGATCTATATTCCATCATTTCACTCTATTGAGTGCCATGTTCATTATTAAATTATGGGCTCTGAATTTACATCTGAATAAATTTTGTAGTTTCATATTCAAAAAAATAAATAAATAAAATAAAACTTGTCCCATCCCCTGAATGGAAAAACAAGATTCATGTAGCTGACTCCATATGCTTGGGAACTTGGGATAAGGCAAGGATGATGATGATGATGACATGTCAAAGCGGCCTCTGAAAAAACCCATCCAGGAGCAGAAGCAGCAGTGAGTAGGTTCCCAATAAAGACTAGGAAATTCAAGATTTGAGCCCATAGACAGACTCTCATGATATCATTTAGTAAATTAGAACTCAGGTTTTAAATTCCACTTTGGTCCTAGCTATCTGGGGTCTTAGGAGGGGTCAACCAGATAAGGACCAAATCCTTGGCATTTTTTTCCGAAGTGGCTTCTATTAGATTCAAATCTGCTTCTCCATGCTTGTCAGTGAAAAATTTTACCATTGTATCAAGCACTGGCCCCTTTTACTGCTAAATTACATGTAACATGATTAAAACACCACAAACAGTGATAGAATACAATACAAGCTTATACATGAAATCCCAGGACCAAGTCCAGTTTATTCCTTCAGATATTCAGCTTAGATATAGAGCTAACTCATACTCCTTTGAGAGTTACAACCAAGGAGACCTCTCTGACAGTTTGAACCTCCTACGGAAGAATTTCCTACCTCCAGATGGAGTTCCTCTGCCCAGCCAAGTCTGCCATTCCAAGAACTATTTTCTACAGTCAAGGTGGCTCCTCTTACCAGCTTATGACTATACTCAATATGTTAAAAATGTACAGCTGTAGTATCCTGTGGGTAGAGATCTAAATTGAATCATACCCTGCCTTAGGGAGTGATTGTATTCAGTTTCCTAATAAAAATTAAGGAAACTGAATGTTTTAAGTAACCCTTTCTGATTTTCTTTATTTTTTAAAATAAAAAGCCACAAAATTCTCCAAGGGGTTGAGAAGCAAAAGAGAACAAGCTGATGTGGAAATAATGGACTTATTGTTTCCTTAATGACTATGGCTAGAATTGGATTGATTATTTATTGTTTCAGTTCAGCCMTTTCAGCTGTTAATAAATGGCCCCTTATACCTAAAATGCCAAGTGACCATCTCAATTACTGGGTCATTGGCTGTGAGTAATCTCAGTGACCCAACCCACTGATTTCTACCTTGAATAGAAAGTCTTTTGAGATCAAAAGAATTTCCTATTGTTCTGGTTAGCATCATTTTAACTTTGAAATTGGCATGTTTTCTTTTACTCTAATAATGGTAAAGAGAACTCAAGCTTGAAAATCCGACACATCCATACAACCAGCCAGAGAACACGTCAGTTGGTATCATAATAGATTGATAATAAATAATCGTTTAAAATGTAAAGATTTTTTTAAAGAAATTATCTAAAACCTCCCTTTGCTGATAACCTCTGAAACTTCCCCACTCTCTCACTCGCTGCTGACACTTGGCAGAGACAGAAACACCAAAACCACATAACATGCAGATTTGAAAACGAACAGATTCCATTTGCAACTAGAATTCTACCGGAGAGAAATGCTTTGGGAAAATTTAAAATAAAAGAAAATCATGGTAAATTTAGGACAACCAGTATGGATAGGCATGTCTCTGACATTTCCAGCTTCCAGGAAGATGTGGTTAGGCTATTCCACGCAAGAAAAAAAAAACAAAAGAAAAACAGAAATAATCTGTAGAAAAATCCGATTAGAGTATTCATCAGAATTATATCATCTTAACACTCAATTTCTCTGACAATAAGCAAAGCCCAAACGAATTGACACCCCTACTAGAAGGAAGGCATGATAGACCCGGTTAGAACTTTTATGTATAAAGTAGTTTGGCAGATCTATTTTAGACTATAAAAGACAAATGTGCATTACACTGGGTCTATCATCTCTACCTTATGATCACCCTCATCATGATACTATGTGAAATATCATGCCCCACCTGATTCCATTCATGATTCGACCTGGCTGGATTGAATTCATTATGTATAAGCAAATTATATCAAAAGATTCTGATATATAAATGGGCACTTCTGTGGCACTGTGAGACAGCAGGGTGTGCTTTTGTTTGTAACTTTAGCTTTGAGGTTTGAAGCTCACTGCCAGGGATTGGGATTGGGGGTTGGGGCTGGGGGAGGAAGAATGTGGATACCGAAAGCTGCACAAAAGTAACCCAAAAGAGAAGGGAATCCACAGACAGAGAGAGATTCTCAATAAGACACTTTATACAATACAATGTTGCATGGAACCCCATTAACATATAAAAAGTTTTTCTGCTTCTCTCTTATATGGATGGACATCAGCTGACACAGAGGAGTTGGAATCTTTCAATGTTCTCGTAATACAATGTCATTCACAATGAAGCTTCCTGCTCCATCCAGTAACAAAATCTTAGACGGGTTCAAGCTTAGTCCAGAATTCAACTAGGCAGATCATCGGCTAACGTTACGCCATGGATTGGTCGGTGTATAAATTCAACTAGGCTGTTTGATTTTGAAGGTTCTATCTGGTTTTTGGTACAGATAGGATAAAAGAGCAGACTGAATTACTGAAATACTGCTGGGAAGTGTGATCCATCCTTTTGGGTCTAAAAACATTCTCTCTGTCTCTGAAAGTTACTGTGAAAAAGTTATTATGGTTTATTTATCAAAAAAAAAAAAACGCTGTTATGGTACAGGATAGCAGTTACAGATTGAAGAGTTGCCTCCATGGCCAACACTGTGTTTTTCGTTTTCTGTTTTGGGTTATTTTCTCTTGGCTCTTGCTCGTAGCTTTTAATGTTTTCCTTTTTTCTTTTTTGCTTTTATTTCTTCTTTTTATCAGTCTTTTCCTGCTGCAGTTACCTGAAAAAATACTGCCCTGCTTCAGATGGAAAAAAAATACATATATATTCTTTTTCCTGCAAAAGCTTAATCCTATACAATCTTGGAATCTTTTCTTGTCTCCCCACAATGAAAATTGGCTGATGTACTATTTCTGTGTCTGTAGAGCTTGTACAGATTAAGAATGGGCTGATGTACTATTTCTTTTGTTTAAATCCCAACTTGTGCTTCATTAGATGGTTTTGATTATTTCTAAACAATGCAGTATATTTTCTGTCTCCTTGAAAGAAATTAGAAAGCATAGAAACAAAAAAAAAAAAAAATAGAAAGGGACAGTCAATGAGAAACTGTAATGAGACCACAACTTATTGATCAATAAATAAAATAAAATAAAAAAAGATCACAACCACCAATTTGAATGAATACATAATAACAATGAGTTGTTCCCAAATCACCACCATAAAATAACAGACCGTCCATTCCTCTGAAATAACCTAAATTTTAATCAATTTAGTCTAGCCCAGCTGAAATGACATACTGAGATTCAAGCAATTAAACTTTTCATATGACACATTCTGATTTAGTGATTACAATGCTGAATGAAATAAAATTTGGAAGAAATTCAACAAAGAGGGTATGGAATATCTGGTTAAGGCTGTTTTCTGTTAACAATAGCTTTATGGTTGGCTATGCTTCCCACCAAGGAACAATTTCTATACCAGATTGTCTTCTTCACTGGCTAGGAGAGATTTGGAAGAATAAATTTGTACACGGAACTATCACAGATCGATTTAATCAAAACAACAAATTAATCAGTAGATTATCAACTATGAACTATACTCACCGATTGCCTGGATTGACTGGTGTGAAAAACTCGTTAATGGTAGCAGTGAAGAAGTAGATTGATCCCAAATAGAGTAGGAGCGGATCTGCAAAACATAAAACCATATTTGTTAGTGAAAAAATAGAAGGAAGGAGGAAGAGGAGGCAAGGAAGAAGAAGATTCAGTCAGAGCATGGGCGGTGAATTTCGAAGAAGAGAGATCCGTGATTACCTGGCCAGAGTAATTCAGGTCGGATCTTCAGAGTTCAACTGCCAAACTGCAGAAAGGTTTGAAGGAGGGAGTGACGAGAGAGGACAAAGAGGTTGGAAATTTGGAATCGGGGGTTTGTGGGGGTTTTTTTGTCATTTTAATTTTTCTTGTTTTAACTGGCTGGAATGGGAATCCAATTCCGAGGGGGTGGGTCGGGAATGGCCATTCCCTCAAATGGGGGAATGCCATTCCGCCCGAATGGGAATCGGATTCCGATTCCACCCAACCAAACGGCTGACGTCCGGCTCCAGACCTCTATTCCTGTGAACCATACATACTCTGAATTCTTTTGACTCTTCCAAGTATCAAGCAAATGGTCGGTGTCTCAATTTAAAGCACGTTAGACTGTCGCTGGCCCTTAAATTTGCAACTCAGATGCTTATAGTCATAGCCCTTAATCATGTAATAAACCATTCTGGTTTTTGGCCTTTCAAACAAGCAACACATGGCAACATATAACAGAGGGTGATAAGCATAAAATAAGGGCAAAAAAAACCCAATCATTCTGACATGGCCATGATCCAAGAGCACTAACAAGTACAGAATCTAACGAGCAAAATGTTCATTAAGAAACACAATGGACATGGGTTTATTCACAGAAGTAGTGGCATCAGAACCAACAATGAAGTTTTCTAGCTTCCCCGGTATGTTGTGAATGAGAAAGGAGACAGCAACAGAGGAACATGAAAATGTTCCAATCTCTGAGACTCCTTGATCTCAAACACAATGGATACATACGGAAAGAACCCACTGGGGGAGTACTTCCCAGTATTGAAACTTATTCGATAGAACCCAGGATCCACGCTTTCAACAATGCCCATTAGCTGGCCACTACGCCCATCGCTGTTTGTAAATGAAGAGCCTTGGAGTATCCAGCCCTCTGAATCAAGCTCACCAAACAATGGGAACGGTCTGCTGCCCTTCCACATCTCCAACTGTACCTCAATGCCAGCAGCTGGGGATCCACGAGAGACATCCAAGACATGTGTTGTGATGGGAGGGCGAGTTCTAGCTGAGTTTTGAGATGCTTTACCACTGCCATGAACTTCAGAAGCGGCAGTCAGATGTGCTCCAATTATGCTTACACGATCTTCTACAAGTTGAAGAACAAAACATCAACCTTGGACAAAATGCACCAAATTTTTTACTTTCAAAAGTTACACTACACGATTTTTCAAAATGATATTGTATTTTGTCTCGTGCATATATCCTTTTTGCAAACATAGAGTGAACTTCCATGAATTCCCATACATATCTTGACATGAATCTACTAATGAATCATACAAGTTGGATGACAGTGCTAGAGGGATGTCACAATCTTTTGTGCAATAATTTGTTGCACAAAAAATTAAGCACACACATGCAACAAAGTTAACCAAAAAAAACAAGGGGAACAGCATGGGGATGCAAAGGAACATTAATGGAACAAGAAAACAGACATTTGTTAATAAGTATAAACAGTTTACTTGATTAAAAAAGAAGACAGTGTTATATAAAAGATACCTTCTGCTTTTGTCACTTGAGAGATGTAATACTGAGTACTGATAGTAGAAGTGACTTCTGCTTTAGCTGCAAACAGTTTGGCAAGACGCAGTTCAATTATTTTCATCTCCTCCTGAGCTGCAATCTCAAACTCGACTATGGGTCTGTTCGGGTACCGTTTCTTTGACAGAGCCAAGTAGAAAAGCGACTTAGAATTATAAACTACAGAATCATGTAACCTAACAGAAAGAACAAATAATAAAAAGAAAACAAGAAGACAGAGTGATATCTGGCTTTGAAGTATGTGTAGGTCAGCCAGAAAGTCTCCTTAAGATTAACATTTTTGCTATGAGCATTCATCAAAAAAAAAAAAAAAAAAAAAACATTTTTGCTGTGAGAGGTTAAAAGGGCATTCTGAGTGAGATGTACACTTTGAAGTGATGAATGTAACACATCTTTGACAGTTCACAAATTTCAGATAGATGTCATCTGTATTCACTTTCTTTCTTGAGAGAAGCACATAAGAGAATAGAACAACTACCAAAATGCAATACCAAAGACAAATTGTCTTCCCAAAAGTCCAAAACAAACAACCGAAGAATCTATCCTCACCACTTTTCTTCCTCCCCCTGACACCATGTTCTAATTTTATTTTACCCCTTCCCCTTCCCCTCTTAGCACAAGGTTCCACCACCTCCAATGTAGTCTTCCTACAGAGCCCCATTCCCCATTAGACTCTATCAACTCAATACCGCAATTCCTGTCATGCCCTCATCCCTGAAAACAGGGCACAAGAGCATCCCACTCTAGAAATTACCAGCTCCATTGTTAATCTTTCCCTCTTCTCCCTCAAGGGCATTACCTACCATGATTCTCAAGAAGCATGACCCCATCCTCCAACTTATTTCCCGTTTCCTCCTCTTATTCAAGCCTTCAAAACATTTCTCTAACAAAATCACCACCCCCACCCCCAAGGAAAAACAACAAACCAATACTTGACTACCTGAACTTCATGTCCATCACCTGCTTCAAGGGAAAAGATTTTCTGATTAGTTTCGCTTCATCCATCAAGACTTATTCTCCTTCCCCATCATACCCTATATCAGATTCCCCTTCTCTGTTTCCAGAGCCTTCTGAATCAGACTCAACCCCATTAATTTCCTCCTCCAAATCTTACCAATTTTCTTCAGTATCCTCCTCTACTATAGGGAACATTCTGTAGCTCTTCTTAGGAATCTCTCCCTCTTTCGGCACCCTCATGGGCCTCATCAAATTTGCATCCCCTTCCCTGACCTCTTGCTCTCTAATTCAGTCCGCAAAAGAACTTTTAGTGCATTTTTTATCAAGTCATCAGAATCTTTTGATGAATTTTCATAGAAAGACATATCATACACAAAATAGCTACAAATTACCAACGTTCTAAAAACCAGACTGGCCATACAACCAGAAAAGGGAGAGGGGTTCACAGGTCCTAGAGGTTCAACTGCAGTCAAACCGGAGGTCAAACTGTGATGACAATATATACACACACACACACACACACACCAAGACAAATATTATTACATTGAATGTGGTGGATAGATGGCTAGTTCCTAAATTTTTAAAACAAATGACCAGAGTTCAAGCCTCTCAACTCACATCTTCTTTAAAATATGTACATATTAAAGCAATATACACATTAAAGGGATGTAAATAAACACTAGTAAAGAGAGCATTAATGATAACAAGACAATACACATAAATAAAGGTCTTGGGTTCAAGTCTTGCCATTACCCTTTTGAATTTTCTATTCATGTAGTGACCCGAGCGGTTTTATAAAACTGGGACCCGTTCACCAATTTTGGTCAAACCAGCTGGTTAGCCAGTTTTGGCCTGTTTTTCATGAATTATGGTTTTCAGGGTATGACAAAACCGATCAAGGGCCCAGGTCTCAATTCAACTGGTCCACCCAGCCAGTCCAATCTGGTTTTCTAAACATTGCAAATTACCATCTTATCAGGTTCTAGAAAAGTTTATATTTTGTGCTAACACAAATAGAAAAGAAATGGGGAAAAAACAAAAATAAGTTCCATTTATAAAAATATAAAATAAAATAAAATAAATTCAGATCTTACCTTCAATTCTTCAAGTATTTCAGGTGTACTTCTCCCGGATGCACATATAAGAAAAACAAATCCAAACTTCTGCATATAGCGATTATTCCATTCAACTAGTTCCTGCAAAGATGAATTGCATTATATTTAATCAGGTCTACCAGAACCCATTTCCAGAAAGAGAAAAAATCATCTCCTAACACCAATCCATGGTTCAAGCGCTCCTGCAGTCCAATAATACATATTAGGAAAAGGAAATGATTCACTCAAGACTGGGGAACAACTCAATCTCTTAGATCTGCCAGTTTTGCAAGTCAAAAAGTATACTAGTAAGACAGTTTGCAGTTGACAGTTGTGAATATTTCTAGAATGGTTTACTTAAAATTATTTCTTTTTAGATTCAACAGATGGCTTTCTAGTCAAGTTCACTTCATACAAAAAGCCATGAAAGTTGGCTATAAATCAAGAATTGGCACATGTAATAATAGAAAGCAGGACCTAGTATATTCTTTCATATGGAAATAACCTAATTCTGATATATGCAAAAGTATTCATGAACAAAGAAGCTAGAGAAATACATCATTTTTTTCTATTTGATGATTTTGATCTATTAGAGAAGTGACCCCGTTAGTATTCAAAATAATAGGTAATGGTTGAACAACTTTCTACATTTGTTTTATTGAGAATCTCTAAATGAACCTGTAAGCTAGATTCAGTTGCAGTTGCTAATGCAGTTGATTGCTCACCATGACACCACCTACAAAAAGAGCACTAATCAATTAATACCATAAAAATCTGCATTGTATCAAGGATCCAGCATCTAGAAAACAGGTTGAGTATAAAGTAAGCGGGCAATAATGGATGAATGAAGGGATACCAGACATAATCCAAATGAGATAGATGACAAAATAAAATGGGAGTTCTGAAATTTCTTTAATTAAATATTAATTAAACAAGGCATATGAGAATGAGATATGAGAAACCAGCCAGACTCATGCAACCTGAGAAATTAGTATATATGTACAATAATACCCAGACCTTCAGCAAAAAGAAGGGTTGCTAATAATATAAAAGGGGTAAGGATGAAATACAATTTAGCATCTAGTGCTTAATTACGAAGTTAGTGAGCATCATGTTGTTATGGGCCCGCGCGTAGGATCTCATCACGGGTTGGTCCACGGGGAGAAAGCACTGCTTTCCCTTGCACCTTCCCTTGCGTGCAGACCCTATTGTGGGAAACCGAATGGGTGATTTGTCCAAGAGACCACCTGAACTCTCCTAATGGATGATTTGTCCAAGAGACCACCCGAACTCTCCTCACTCTTTTCTTGACTGGAAACTGAATGCTTTATTTCAACTCGTAGCTCCTTAAATAGGAGATTACAGAAGGGAATTACTTGTTGGATTCGGCTAGGCTAGGGTAATCCAACTCAAACTCAAACTCCTAATTACCTACTCCTAATAGTAACACAACTCTTACTTAAGATAAGATAAGATAAGGATAAGGGATAAGATAAGATAAGATAAGGGATGAGGAATGGTGTAGCTGGCGGCGAGTTGGCGGGCAGAACTGATGTGGTAAGATAAGTGTGGGCCCACCCTGATGAGCTGTCATGTGGGCCCCGCCCTACTGCTGCTGCCGGGTGGTGCGCGCGTCTCGCAGTGCTGCTGCCGTGAGGTGCGTGCTGCTGTCGTGCGGTGCGTGCTGCTGCCATGCGGTGTGTGCTGCTGCCTAATGCTGCTGCCGTGCGGTGCGTGCTGCCAGGCGGTGCGTGCGGCACGCTGCCGGGTGGTGCGTGCTGCTGGGTGGCCCACTGTGCGTGCTGCTGCCTATGAGTGCACTGCCGGGCGGTGTGTCCATAACACATGTAATCTATAAATTTTGTGCTTGTGGAAGGGATTAAATGTGTCGATTTAGCATTTACACCAGTAATTGCCTTATTAATTTCTAATCAGTTCCATCATCAATCATTGAAACCTTGACCATTTGAGGTTGTCAACATGTGTCTTATTATGCCGTTTCAGTACATCCAGAGGTGAGTTCTCACTTGTCAAAGACATCCGCCTAATTTTGACTCAACCGTCTACTCTCTCCCTCTTTATGGATTATGTTCAAGATTATATTTTGACCCAAATGGTAAAAGAAACAAAAATGACGCCTATAGATTGATAAACATTCTTCTGAATCAATCATGATTGAACTAGAACTATCACCATTTCCAACAAAACCAAACCCTGATAATACATCTTCAGTCCAATAGTAGAAAAACCACATGATCTAGAGAATTGAGGGGAAAAAAAAAAGCAACCCAACTGTTCACCCGTTGCAGTTTTCTGGGTCCGCGAATTTGGGTTTCCTACCGGTGGATGAGCTGCAAATGCTTCGAGCCATCCATTCACATCTACCTGGCATCCAATCGAAGAAACAGTAGTTAGTAACGAATTAGAGTAAAGAAACACAGAAAAAGATAATAATCTTCTAGAGAGAAGAAGAAGAAGAAGACCCACCTTATTGAACCATATATCTCTTGCAGCTTCAACAGCTCGTTCGTAGGTGGGGAAAGGAGAGGCGGCGGCCATTTCTCTGGCAAATTTGGTGCTGCCGCAGCAAGCCAGGAAATTCTTCTCGTCGAAGCCCGAACCCATTGACACCTTCTACCTTGCAAATTGTAATCCGAAAGAAAATTTTCCCCTTCTGATCTCCGGATGCCTTGTGAGTTCCAGGCTTCCAAAGAGGCTGCTGAAGCGACTAAAGTGGGGTTCGGCCTCTATCAGGGCAGAGTCCATACTGGCACCATTCGCGCAGGACGAGGACGCGCCACGTGTATTTTGATTCGTGTATTTGCTTAATGCGTGTGAAGCGAATTAAACGGAGTTTATACTTGGCGTCGTTAGCTGCTCCGTTCCATTCAAGAATCTATTTTCCCCTTCTGATCTCCGGATGCCTTGCCAGTCATCTGGTAAATGAAAAGGAATCAAGAAAATATTTGGTTAATAAGTAAAACGAGGGACATTGCAAGACAGGCTTGAAACCGGATCGTACGATCAAAAGAAAGACATACACAGAAGGAAATTCCTCCCCTCTTCCTCTTTGGGACATGGCTTCCTTTCTCTTAATCTCTGCCATCACCTTCCTTGACTCATCGAGTACTTCGCACAATCTTTGGCAGTAGGAGTCTTCAATCACGTAAACGAATCTGGTGTTGGGTGAAGAAAATCCCGTAAACACATGACCTAGCACATTCGAATTAAAGCTCAAAAGATTCATGAAAAAAAAAAATTAAGAATTCAGAGAGAGACAGAGAGACCTTGCGACGCATGGTGGGGAGGGGGTTGCCTGAGCCGTCCATGAGAGGATCTCTTCCCTATGACTGTCCATATAATTGTCGACCCTAAAATCCAACTTCCCGTCAGAATCGATCACCGTAAACCCATTAAAACTGAGCTAGAGTGACTCTCTCCACACAGTCAGCTATCTATACACATCCACCCGCTCATACTTCCCTCGTTTTACTTCTTGACCAAATGTTCTCCTAATTCCTTTTCGTTTACCAGATAACCAGGAAAAAAAATCAAAGAATGAATTAAAAGAAAGAGAAAAATATTCAATGTTTCGAACCTGCACCGGGTCAGGAACAAAAAAATTGGTAAATTAGAAATAACCCCCTTGTACTATGGTCAGTGACAAAGTCCCTCTGTACTTTTATTTACAAAACCCTGAACTTTAGCCATTAAATTAAACAAAGACCCCCTTGGCTGTTAAGTTAGATGACAGAAAGTGTTGAATTACCAAAATATCCTATTAAACTTTTTTATTTTCATTTTTTTGTCCTTTTTTCTTAAAACCTATTGTTTCTCTTCTTTTTTGAGTTTTACTTCACGTATCATGATTATGATTTTCATGTTTTTTTCCTTACTGAAGTCGGATTCCTCTCTCCTCCTCTGTTTTTTTTGCAAGAAGAGTATTGATAGGAAAAAAAATGAAAAAGAGAGAAAGAATTCAGACAACTTCAATAAGGACGAAAACATCAAGGCCATAATCATAGTATGTGAAGTGAAACTCAAAAAAAAGAAAAACAATAATTTAAATAGAATTTAAGAGAAAAAGGGCAAGAAAATAAAAAATAAAAAAAGCTTAATGGAATATTTTGGTAATTTAACACTTTCTGTCATTTGATTTGATGGCTAAGGAGAGTCTTTGTCTAACCGCTAAAGTTAAGRGGGTCTTTATTATAAAAAAAAATACATGAGGATTTTATCACTAACCCCATAATATAAGAGGTGTCTTTGTAATTTACCCAAAAAATTGTAATAGAATAGTAGTGGAGATGCGGGGTATCGATTTCCGTTCACGCAAAACAAGCGCTCTACCGGTGAAACAGTCGCCGATGATGAACGAACCAAAAAACTTGAGGTTTTTTCTGGTCGTCGCCGGTTGGAGAGAGTCTCGAGCACCAACGGGAAGTGGAATGGAACAAAGGAGAAGCTAATGGCGCAATGGATAGACTCCGTTTAATTCGTTTCACATGCATTAAGCCAACGCATGAATCAAAAGACGCGTGGCACATTTTCATGCTGCGTGAACAATGGGAGCATGGACTCTGCCCCAATAGAAGCCGGGCTCACTAAAATGGCGTTTAATAAATCTGAAAAAGTCTGAAAAGTTAAAAATATTTAAAAAATTAAACAAAATAATTAATAACTAAAAAATATTAAAATAAATAACACTAATAATTAATAATTAATACATAATATTAAAATAATTAAAACCAAATAAAGATGAAAATCATTAATAAAAATAAAAAATAATACAAAAACTCATAAAACTCAAAAATAAATTTATTCAATTCAAAATAATATTGATTAAAAAATAAAAATAATTTATTCAATTCAAAGTATAATTTATTTAGAAAATTATATCGTTCCCTAACCCGTCATCTCTCCCTCGCCTTAAAACGTTCCACATCTTTGATGCATCAATCGTCGGAAAGAATAAACCATGCCCATTAGTGGTTTCGGCAAAATGTGATCGTGATGCGGCATGGTGACTGGATTAACAACGTGAAGCTCTTGTGGGTCACCACAGCAGTGCACCCCTAGGATTCACCGCTCACAAAAACTGACAAAGTCTGAGCCTTCTACACCGGGAGGAAGCTCTGTAACAAGTTTGATTTCTCGATTCACAATGTTCGTTTCGCCTTTCCTCCGCTGCATCCAAACCGCTTCACAAGTCATCTCCATAGGTCATGTAGTGTTACCCCTAAAAGTTGAAGAATACAGCAAGACGCAATGTTAGATGCAGTTTGTTCGACGCAAAGGCTTGAGGCCATGAAATTTGGAGTAATCTTCAGACGCACATGTTTGTTCGAGAGAGAAACCTGGAGAGAAAACAAATGCAAGTGGTGATCTTATTTCTTGATCATTCAAGAGAGAAAACACAAATGAATTAGGTTTTTTAGGTTCAAGGTTAAAAAGGGGCAATTTGTGCCATTTCAAAATTTTTAGAGGGGTATTTCCAACTTTTTTCAAGCTCTGAAATGTGTCTGAGCGCATTAATTGCCAGTTTACGAACTTAAAATTTCAGATCTGAAAACATATTTCAGATTGATTTTCAAACGCAACACCAAACGAGCTTGGTTTTTCCAAACACCAAACCTCTAAAAAGTGTTATCAAATGCCCACCTAAATTGTGTTTTAGGTGATCATGGGCTTTTGATAAGGGCCCGTGCCCAGGCCAGATCGGACTTTCTATCTTACAACTTTAAATACAACATAATCATATTAAATAGGGTAAAATATAAAAAACCACCCCTGAGGTTTCATTTTCACAAAAACCTTCCCTATAATTTCACTTAAAACATGCAATTACCTCCCTTCCATGTTTGTTTTAGGAATGAAAAATTCAAAGTTAAGAAATTACCCTTACAAGTTAGGTCATCTTTCAATATAATTGAAAATGCTGGATTTGCCAATCTAAACTTCACTATATCTAATATTTTTATAGAGTAAAATTACTTTATTCTTTTCAATACCTAGTGATTTTTCAATTAAAAGTGAAAAAGAAAAGAGTATCTTAGTAAATTTCCATCTAAATTGATAAATATAAATATAAAATGGAAACTTGTGAAAAATTAATGCATTAAGCCGCATGTTTTTTCAATAATATAGGGAAGGTTTTTATATATTACCATAATAAATATATAATATTTTTATTACATTATAAGATATACGATATATGTAAAAGAATATATGTTATCTATACTATATTATAACGCGATTAAGTCCCACATCAGCTCCCCCTCCTTCTCCCATTCCCCCTTCTCTCGTCTCTCCTTAAACATCTCTCTCTCTCCTCCTTTCCTTTCCCTACCCAAGCCTCCCAAACGGCCAATGGCAAGAGACTTTCTTTTCAAGAAATGTCTCTATTTGCCAACTTATGTAAGCTATTTCACCACCATAACAACAACAAAAATTTGCCAAATAACTAACATAGAGGAAAAGGAAACTTCCCGAAAGACTTCCCTCTCTTAAACAGAAATTCCTTTCTCACCATTCTCCCCGTTTCCTCTCCAAAACACAAAACTTCATGGCGGAAAAGGAAAGAAGTTTTGTGTTTGGGAGAGGAAATGAGGAGAATGGTGAAAAAGGAATTTTTGTTTGGGAAAAGGAAGGAGAAGGAAATTCTTTTAGGAAGCTTCCTTTTCCTCTACGTTAGTTATTTGGAAGTTTTTGTTGTTGTTATGGTGGTGAAATAGCTTACGTAAGTTGGTAAATAGAGACATTTCTTGAAAAGAGAAGGAGATCTAGAGAGAGAGAGAGAGAGAGAGGGAAAGGGGTAAGGGAGAAAGGAGAGAAGGGGGAATAGGAGGAGAGGGGTGCTAGTGTGGGACCTAATCAGTTTATAATATAGTATAAACAAGCGGGGACCGTGTGATGCATGGAAGTTATTAAGAGAAAGTTAAATAATAGAAAAGGTCATTTACTAAAATACCTCTTATAGTTTCATGGATTTACTAAAATCTACCCTATAGTTAGCATCTTACTAAAAACCACTTATAATTTGCAATGGATTTAACCAATCTTCCATTAGATGACAGTGTTGACCCTAATGTTCATTTAAATAAATTTAATCAAAAGAAAATAAATATAAAAATACCAATTTTGCCCTTAATAAGACACGGGCAACCAACTCTATTGGCTATATTTGGTCAATTTTGTTTTCTATACAAAAAAGTGTTAAGGGTATTTTTGGAAAAAATCATAGGTCTAATGGCAAAACAAATACTCCTTAATGAAATGTTGATTAAGTAAATAAGTTGTAAAATATATGGGATGTTTTAGTAAAATGAAAACTATAAGGTAGGTTTAAGTAAATATGTAAAACTATAAGGTGTGTAGGAATGGCAACGGGGCGGGGATCATATTCCCCGTCCCCGACCTTGACTATGAAATTAACCCCCATCCTTGATCCCCAACGGGGATGGGTTCCTCGTGGGGACCCGAATCCCCAAAATGTTTTCAGATAATAGTATTTTTTAAATAAATTTATTTAAAATAAATAAATAATTTAAATTATAAATAATGTTTTAAATATATTTTGATATATACATATATATAATATATAAAAATATAATAGTATATTTAATATATATAATATATATAATCGGGGTCGGGGGCAGGGTGGGGACCTCAATTCTCATCCCCGACCCCAACTGGGGATTCCTATTAATCCTCATCCCTGCCCCCACCTCCGCCTCCGCCAAAGCAATCCCCATCCCCGGCCCCATCGGGCCGGGGAAGTCGGGTCCTTGTCGGGGATGGGAAAAACTGTCATCCCTAAATGTGTGTTCTAGTAAATGACCCTAATAGAAACACATAAGAGTATACCATTGTTTTATATTTTCAACTTTTTAAATAATTAATAATTATTCATATTTTATATAGTACTTTTAATAATTTTTTTATAATATAAAAATAACTAATTAATTTTTGTTAGGTTTATTCATTAAACTGATGAAATCGACCAACCCAATCAACTCGACTTGAGTTGCTTGTTTTTCTAGTATTTTAGGTCGGTTTTGGTTCAAAAAGTTCCCGATTCGACAAAGTTGGATTAGTTTCACTTTGGCCATTTGTAAACCGATCAAAATCTAACGACCTAACCATGGATATATATTAATATTTTATATTTTAAATATACTTTTTAATATGGAAAAGTAAGAAATTTCCCATATTTCTTAGTATAACATGTTTTATATCATAAATCTAATTTTTAATTTTATTTTTAATAATTACACTATAATTTTTAAAATTTAATTTAATTTTTAAGTTTAAATCTTTTGAATCGACTGATCAAACCAAAAAATCAACCCAAACTGGTACAATTTGAGTGGGTTGGATTTCACAAAAGGTCAATCAGTTTTAGCTAACCAATTCCCCAACCTAACCAAGTCAATTTAGTTGGCCAAATAGCCTATGACCAAACTGAACCAACTCACGAACACTCATAATTTCAGCTAAATTAATAGTCTCATCTTTGATAAATAAGAATAGTTTAATCTCCAA